AAGTTTGTGGCTTCGTGATCCCGGTTGGGATACCTCAAGTTTTGCGGCTTCGTGGTCAGGATGGTGGAAGTTGGTGGCTTCGTGGTCAGGATCCCAGTTGGGGTACGTCAAGTTTGTTGCCTCGTGGTCAGGAACCCGGTTGGGATACCTCAAGTTTGTGGCTTCGTGGTCAGGATGCCGGTTGGGATACCTCAAGTTTGTGACTTCGCAGTCAAGATGCCGGTTGGGGTACCTCAAGTTTTGTGGCAGATCCCCGGTCGGGATACCTCAAGTTTGGTGGCTTCGTGGGCAGGATCCCGGTTGGGATACCTCAAGTTTGTGGTCAAGATCCCGGTTGGGATGCCTCATCAAGTCTTGTGTCTTCGTGTCAGGATTCCGGCTGTGATACCTCAAGTTTAAAGTTTTTCGGCTTCGCTGGACACTTCAAGTTTTGTGTCTTTGCAATCAAGATCCCGGTTGGGGTACCTCAAGGTTTGTGGCTTCGTGGTCAGGATCGCGGCTGGGGTAACCTCAAGTTTGTAGCTGCGTGATCCCGGTTGGGATACCTCAAGTTTGTGGCTTCGTGGTCAAGATCCCGGTTGGAATACCTCAAGTTTGTGGCTTCGTGGGCAGGATCCTGGTTGGGGTACCTCAAGCTTTGTGGCTTCGTGGTCAGGATCCCGGTTCAGTTCGTGGTCAGGATCCGGTTGGGATACCTCAAGTCTTGTGGCTTCGCGGTCAAGATCCCGGTTGGGATACCTCAAGTTTTGTGGCTTCGGTGTCAAGTATCCGGTTATGACCAGGATGCCTCAAGTTTGTAGCTTTGTGGGCAGGATCCCCGTTGGGATACATCAAGTTATGTGGCTTCGTGGTAAACATCCCGGTTGGGATACGTCAAGTTTTGCGGCTTCGTGGTCAAGATCCCGTTTGGGATACCTCAAGTTTGTGTCTTCGTGGTCAGGATCGCGGTTGGGATTTCTTAAGTTTTGCGGCTTCGCTGTCAAGATCCCTGTTGGGATACCTCAAGTTTTGTGGCTTTGCAGTCAAGATCCCGATGGGAAACCTCAAGTTTGTGGCTTCGCGTTCAGCCCGGTTAGGATATATACTTCAAGTTTGTGGCTTCGCAGTCAGGATCCCGGTTGGGATACTTCAAGTTTTGTGGCTTCGCGGTCAAGATCCCGATTGGGATGCCAGGAGTTTGTGGCTTCGCGGTCTGGGTCCCGGTTGGAATACCTCAAGTTTTGAGGAAAATCCCAGTTGGAATACCTCAAGATTTGTGGCTTCGCAGTCAAGATCCCGCGGTTGGGATACCTCAATTTTTTGTAGCGTCGTGGTCAGGATCAGGGTTGGAGTACCTCAAGTTTGTGGCTTCGTGGTCAGGATCCCGGTTGGGATACCTCAAGTTTTGTGGCTTCGCGCCGCAAGTTTGTGGCTTCGCGGTCAGGATCCCGGTTGGGATGCCTCAAGTTTTGTGGGTTCGCAGTCAAAATGCCGGTTGGGATACCTCAAGTTTGGTAGGTCAAGATCCCGGTTAGGACCAGGATACGTCAAGTTTGTGGCTTCGTTCGTGGACAGGATCCCGGTTGGGATACCTCAAGTTTTGTGGTTTCGCAGTCAAGATCCCGGTTGGGGTACCTCAAGTTTTGCGGCTTCGTAGTCAAGATCCCGGTTGGGATACCTCAAGTTTTCGGCTTCGTGGTCAGGAACGCAGTTAAGATACCTCAAGTTTTGCGGCTTCGCTGTCAAGATCCCCCGTTGGGATACCTCAAGTTTTGTGGCTTTGCAATCAAGATCCCGGTTGGGGTACCTCAAGTTGGTGGCTTCGTGGTCAGGTTTTTTGGTTGGGATACCTCAAGCTTCAAGTTTGTGGCTTCGCGGTCAGGATGCCGGTTGGGGCACCTCAAGTTTATGGCTTCGCGGTCAAGATGCCGGTTGGGATACCTCAAATTCGGTGGCTTCGTGGTCAGGACGCCGGCGGGGATACCTAAATTTTGGTGGCCTCGGGGCACGGTCAGGATCCCGGTTGGGATGCCTCAAGTTTTGTGGCTTCGCTGTCAAGATCCCGGTTGGGGTGCCTCAACTTTTGTGGCTTCGCGGCCAAGATCCCGAACGGGATCTTAACTGCGACGCCACAAACTTTTTTCCAACCGGGATCTTGACCCCGAAGCCACAAAACTTGAGGTATCCCAACCTGGATCCTCACTGCGAAGCTGCAAAACTTGAGTTATCCCACAAACTTGAGGTATCCTAACCGGGATCCTGACCAGGAAGCCACGAACTTGAGGTATTTCAACCGGGCTCGTGACCGCGAAGCTTTCCTGACCGCGAAGCCACAAACTTGAGGTATTCCAGCCGGGGTCCTGACCACGAAGCCACAAACTTGAGGTATCCCAACCGGGATCTCGACCGCGAAGCCAGAAAACTTGAGGTTTTCCAACCGGGACGCAAACTTGAGGTATCCCGACCGGGTTCCGGGCCGCAAAGCCACGAACTGAAGGTATCCCAACCGGGATCCTGACTGCGAAGCCACAAAACTTGACGTATCCGACCCGGGATTTTGACGGCGAAGCCACAAAACTTGAGGTATCCCAACCGGGATCCTGCCCACGAAACCACAAACTTAAGGTATCCTGATCCTAACCGGGATCTTACCAAACTTGAGGTATCACAACCGAGATCTTGACTGCGAAGCCACAAATTGATGCATTCCAACCGGGATCTTGATTGCGAAGCCACAAAACTTGATATATCCCAACCGAGATCTTGGCCGCGAAGCCACAAACTTGAAACCGGCATCCTGACCACGAAGCCACAAACTTGAGGTATGATCTTTACTACGAAGCCACAACCGGCATCTTGACCGCGAAGCCACGAAACTTGAGGTGTCCTAACCGGGATCCTGAGCGTGAAGCCAAGAACTTGAGGTAGGCATCTTGCGCACGAAGCCACAAACTTGAGGTATCCCAGCCGGGATCCTGACCACGAGAAGCCACAAATTTGAGGTATCCCGGAACCGGGATCTTGACCGCCAAGCCACAAAACTTGAGGTATTCCATGCAACCGGGATCCTGACCACGAAGCCACAAACTTGAGGTATCCCAACCGGGATCTTGATTGCGAAGCTACAAACACAAACTTGAGGCATCCCAACCGCGATCTTGATTGCAAAGCCACAAAACTTGAGGTATCCCGACCGGGATCTTGATGTGAACCACAAACTTGCGGTATCATAACGGGGATCGTGACTGCGAAGCCACAATGTTGAGGTGTCCCAATTGGGATCCTGACCACGAAGCCACGAACTTGAGGTACCCCAACCGCTCTTGACCGTGAAGCCACAACACTTGAGGTATACCACTCGCCTTCCGCGGGTTTCTGCCTGACCGCCAGCTTTGAAAGGTGCCACCTGCACTGACGGTGGGGGCCCCAGAAGCGAGCCAACCGGGCACTGCTCGGAACTTAAGTGGGGGTTTCACGGCCTGCTTGCAAGCTAAGCGCCGAACTACAACTCCGAGCAGCCCCCGTGAAAAAGAAGTCTCTTCTGTTAACATGCTACATCAACGATTTCGACAACGGAGCTGGAATTTTGATTCTGATCCAGTAGGTTGCACATTCGCAAATAGATTTTGCGTCATCGAAGCGGGTTTGAAAGTGAACTCTTTCTATTTCGTGCAGCTTTCGGCTTAGTAGTAGTGCTAACATGAGCCCAAGCTTCCTGTGGTCGTGATTTTGTGTCAGCTGCGCAGTCTCAGAACGGATGCACTCCAAATTGCAATACAGTACATGGTTTACGGGTGTGATTCGAGGTAAGGTTTCTGAAGCAGACATCTGTTGTGGGCATGTCGGTGAACATATGGCAGCAGCTCCTAAGGCAGTTGGACAACCAAGCATGCAACACTGACAGCATTGTGGCGCATGACGATGTTGGGCCGGAGCTGCTGGACGAGCAAGGTACCACACCTGAGTGACAAAATTTTGCTTCGTTTCTATCAGGTGTACGGAGCACGTGGCTGTGCAGCACAACTTGTCTGCTGCGTTCCATCATGCAAGCGAGAACTTGTGAACCATGGTTGTTAGCTTGTCTGAAACTAAAACCATTCCGCTCCGCCGAAGCAAAGCTTTAAAGTGCTTGTGCCATGCTTGTATGCGTCCAGTTCGTGCAGCAACTCTCAGCCCGGAAGATCCGTTATCAGGCATGGCAGAGCCCGACGAGCTGGGCAGGCAGGTTTGCATGGAATGGTTGTGTTGCGGAGTCTTGGGGCATGGATGTGCTCTCTGTCATTTCACATGTTATGTACAGGAGCACTGTTGCAAACGCCTCGGAGCAGATGCTGGAAGGTTGAGACCTTGAATGCGATCTGCAACCACAGTTTTCCCAATCTTCTCACACCGTTTCGAAAGAGTAGCCCAGGTGATGGGAGGCAATCTGTGTTCGTGGCAAGCTCCCGTGCAAGTGTGCAAAAGCTGTTGGAGCTTGGCTTGCACTGATATGATGTCGGCCAGCGGTTGGATCACCAATGCGTCCAGCCGGTGTTCGTGTATTAGTGGCACCCTCCAAGCAATATCATCTAGGAAGTATGTACTCTGTGCTGCTCTAGGATGCAGAACGCGAAGACCTAAAATCCAAATCTAAAGTGCAGAACCCACCAACAATTTTGCGAATGTCAAGGACTACACATCATCGATGAATTGGCCCAAGAGGAGGGAGTGCTCGGCTTGCCAGAAGGTGCGTTGTACAGAAAATTTGGTTTCATTTAGTCACATTCCGTGTCCAGCACCTTGACATGTCTGAGGACCCTAGGCCCTCGACGAACAGAGCACTTCGACCCCCAGATGGGAAGCCCTACGTAATTATGGGGATCACGTTAGAAAGCGGAAGAGCCGAGCTGCCCGGACTGTAGACGCTTCGCCACCATGAAATCGTAGACAAATCCTCAAGTTTGGTCCATCCCGAACCAACAGGCCTGCATCTCTTCTTTGACAAAACTCCGAAGCTTTGGCCTAAAGCCTCACCCTGAGAGGCCGACGATGGCTTGAACCGCTTCCTGCAGACTCTGACTTTTTTGCAGGTCTGCTGGCTGCTTCCCATTTCGAACTTCGTAATATGCTTTTGTGTTCCGTGGACTGGTACTTTGGTATTCAACTGCCTTTCAAAACTCAGCTTGGCTTCTGCTGATATGCTGTCTTTGGAGGGGCGAGCTTGAAACGGTAGGATGGCGGAGGGGTATACATAGCACAGTTAGCCCCGAACAGGTCTCAAGGTTACCAGACCCTTGATGTTTCTTACTGTCAACAGAGAAATCGAGAATCCACAACCACGGACTGCCGTGTACCGTTTGTTCTTCTTGCAGGAGTGCCTTCTGTGCAATCGGTACTTCTGCTCCGAACACGCGCAACCCTTCGACTTCCCCGCTGGGGCGCTGCCAGACAATGTCAGCCGCGCATACATCTGCAGCACCTGTCGGCCGCAAGCTGAGCACATATCAGCGGATCACAAGGACTCCGGATCAAACTCCTTCCAAGGCCGCGTGTCAGGGGAGCCCCCCCGCAGGTCGCAGCGTTTCATTTCGGGTTGCTTTGGGATGGCGATGTCGATGTGCCCTCGTCTACGAAGCCTCACCCATGTCTTTCAAGTGCATTCCCAGACCAGAGATTATGTTCAAAACGTTTGGCGCAGCTCACCCTGACCAAGGGCCCTTCATGAAATGACAGCGCATACCTGAAGACCACTTTCTTCGCAAGCCCCGACGTAGCTTCGACAGGACTGCCTCAGGCCGGACATCGCCAAAGAGGGAGATGTGGGTGCGAGGGCCTGCGACCACGTCCGATTCGTCATGAATACTCTAGGCCTCTAGGCTCTTTCAACCCTAGAAAGTTGGATCTGAAACCTATCTAAACCCTAAACCCTAAACCCCTAGAGCCACACCCCCGTGGCAACGGCCTTTCAATGCGATACGATGCGCAGGCAGACCCGGCAGATCCGGGCCCTGGCCCAGCGTCAGAAGGCCTTGCAAACTGGCTGCCACCAGCAATCACGACCAGAGACAACGAGATTCTGCATTGTGCCTGGGAGCATCCGAAGACTGGCTTGCTTGCTAACAGTGAGGTATCCTCAAACTACACTGATAGGGAGGTGCGACGGCACCAGACGCAGTAGCTGTAGGAGCCCTTTCTTCTTGCACGACCAGCTTCGGTAGCAGCTGTGTTTCTCTTGTCCGATGAAGAATGCTGCAGCTGGACAACTTGTTTGGAGCGCAGCAGTTGCAGAGCCCTCCCAATTCAGTCTTGCTGCCGGTGACAAGGAATGTGACGTGGCCGCCAGTGGCAACTGTGAAGTTTGCAGGGCCCTCGGCACCAGCAGCCGAACGTTGGTTCATGCCGAACCACAAACTTACACAGCGTGTTGGGAGTGGCCAAGGTGGTCTTACCCTGTGCCCGCTTCATGCAGAGCTTCATCCTCCTGATGCTGGCAAGGCGGCGCCTGCGACAAGTTTAGCACTCCAAACATCGTGAAAACATCATCGCTTTAGCCCCGTGGCCTTTGAATTGCATGTCTTAATCACTCTCGAACTTCCTCGTCCTAAACTCAGTCCTTCGTCGCAGGCTTAGTGGGGCTTCACTGGTTCTTGAGACTTGGGTCTTTTCGGTCGGGCCTCCAGGCATGGGTTTTCAATGCTGCGCAAGGCCCACTCAGGTCTCGGATTGAACTCCTTGCAAGCAAGACGCCCTGGCCTCTCAAGACTTGCAGGCCCGCCGCCTCAGCGTTTGCTTTGACTCCGAGTGTCGCAGCTACGCCTCTGCCAGAGCTGCGGCGTGCACTGTGGAGGGCCCAGTGCAATTTTGCTTGAACAAGGGCTTTGTGTTTCGCGTTGTTGAGCAGCAGCAGGCTCGGTCTGCAGAATCGTACTTTTCGCCTCTTGCGATCTTGGTCTCCTTTAAAGACATGTGAAGACCGACCTGCAATCAATATTGTGTAGTTTTCAACTTTCGGATACTCGTCAGCCCAGAAGGTACTCAATCAAGCAACGCCATCAGAATGATTAGACATGTAAGCAGATGCACCAGCAGTTGGTTTGGGTAGTTCGGGACGCGGTACTAATGAGAACTGAAACGGTGCTGGTGGTGGTGGTGGTGGTGGCAACATCAGCGGGAGGAGCAGGAGGAGGAGGAGCAGGAGTACTAGTCGTGGTGGTGTTCTCGGCTGCGCATTTGTTCCGCAACGTTTCAGAGCATTTCAGAACTCAGAAGTTTCGCAATGTCATAGGGAAGAGCTAATCCTGGGGCAAAGGTTTGGAATAGATTTCTCTAGCATAAACATCAGCGCAGTTGTTATGATTCTGGAACACTTACCGGATCACTTCCACTGTCTCGTAGCAGATGCAACGCGAGGCAGTGCGGACAGCACGGGCCGGCTTTTACTCTGCCTGCCTTGCAGCTGCGACTCCTCGGCTTGGCATCTCTGGCCCTCCTGCTACGCTGGAGGAAGCCGTGGACTGTGCTGTCTGTGCTGCGGCTGAATTAGGCCACAGTTCATGCAGGTATTCGACAAGCTCTGTGTGCTGAGACACCGCAGTGCAGTTTGTGTTGCACACCAATGGCACCACGTCCTGTGCGGAGCTTCCTCGCACAGCACAGGAGACCTGAAAGATATGAGCTGAAGACGCAAACTTGAAGCCAGGTGGCCTGGTTTTCACAAAGTTGCCGGGGTCCTTGCGGCACCACTGCCGTGGGTGTGGCAGGTCATCGCCTCAGCCACACTTCGTCCAACAGCATCAGTTGCAATGGGAGTGGATAGCATATGGGTCCCGATGGCAAACCTCCCTGCAGAAAGAGATAGAATGAGGAACACTCTAAATTTAAATCAAAACGGTGAATACTAGCAGCAGTGTTGTTGACAGTAGCAAAGCTACAGTTCCCAGGATCAGGACTACTAGTGTGAGCGAACGTCGGAAAAATCAGGAACAGAACTAGCCGAATGAATATGCACATGGACAGCAACTGAGCATTATCAAAGTCGTAACGGTGCTCTCGAACAGTGACAAGAGTAGCTGGAGGAACAAGGACAACTCCAAACGCCACACGTGGTCGCACATGTGCCGACTGTTGCGTACGTTCGAGAACGGAAAGGTAAGCTGCCCCACGAGCTTCAACCTCCTGGGGCTGAAAATGTTGAATGTACCACAGACCAGCCCTTGGCAAAGAAAGACTGTACCTTTTGCATTGCGTTGACCTTGCAAGGTCGTTATGCGCCGTTTGCCTTTGTGGCGTTGCCGGCTGTCTGGTCAACGTGGCCCGCTGCCCGCACAAAGCCAGGCCACGTCTCTTGCCAGTCTGTGTTGCTCTCGCGTTTGCTGCAGGATTTCGGGATTCAGATCTTGACTACTGACAATGTAGCGGCGCATCGGGTTGTAGGAAGCTCTAGGGATCAACGCTTCGCCTACAGGCTGTACGACAAGGACGAGCGGATCTGTCTCTCGCCCGACAGAAATGGCAAGGTTAATGATTCATCCTCTGTTGAAATAACGGGAAGTCGGAGTTTAGTTGGGAGATCTTGCATATGCGGTCTGACTAGAGATGGTTTCCGGCCTGACTGTCGGACTCGCGTAGACAAGGGCTCTGGTTAAAGTCACTGTAATCGGTCCCAAACATGCTTGGAAGGAGCTCATGCTGCTTGTTCTTGTTCCATCCTCTGATTCTATCCGAAGCCACTGCAATTTTGCATCTCTGGAATCGCAGCTGCTGTGAAGACGCTGCAAGCCCAAGCTGTGTGTCGATAACTGTTACACGTTCCAAAGCCTATCCGATCACAGCATACCCGCTGTTCCTTGACGGGTATCGAAGCCTGTTTTGTCTCATACGCAGAAATCCTTAAGGCCGCTCGAAAGTAGACTTCGGCCTTTGTGAGTTTCTTTTTTTGTCTTTCAAGCTTTCCTGCATGTTATGAGAAGTGCCCCCGGATAGTTGACGCGCCTCAACAGTCTCAAGACATTCGCAGTGAAGGGATGCCAAGAGTGCGAGTTAGGTTTCTGTATCTGCTTGAAGAACAGGAACTGTGCCGCTTCATCAAGACAAGTTGGCATGTCGGCACGGGCATCTGAATTTATCACGGAACTCATCTCCGACCAAATCGCGATTTGCATAGGGATCTATCGCTAGACGACGTACTGGTACCTGTCGTCCCTGCGTGCGAGTAGGCACTCCTGGGTTTTTGCTACGCTCAGCAGGTTCTTCCGTAGTTGGCGGGCAAGTGTTCGGCAAACAGGGTAAGTGGGCAGGTGATGTCGGCATGTGTGCTAGTGGTAGAGGCGCTCGAAGCCGAGGTAAGGACTGTCTACCCCTGGCTGCGGCAAGGGTGCAAGCGAAAGCCGTGACGATGGGAATCGTCGACACTGCCTGCCAGCTCCTGTGAAGTGTGAAGCAGACGTTTTAGATTTTGAGGCTTTGCTTGTTGAGTGCTTGTTTACTTCATGTTGTTTGCTATCTGCTGTACATGGCTGGTTGGTGCTGTTTCGCTAGACGAGGTTTGCAGAACACTGCCTTCGAGTCTCCGCCTTTCTGGAAGATCCGGAGGCCGTACCTCTCTACGAGGCCAACAACGTTGACACCGTCGGCGACTCAGCGCATAGGAGCGCGATGCTCTGTAGACCCCTGCTGTACAATATGTGTGCTGTCAGCAAAATTAATCTGCACTGGTCCACTTGGCAACACTCGCCGTGCTCACAGTCACGCATTCTGCCAGAAGGCAAGAAAGCTGGGGTTTTTTAAGTGCCCCGCTATTGATGTCGCCATGCCTCTTCAATCTGTTCGGGGGGCTCTTGAAAGTACCACAACCGCAAGCGAATGGATTCCAGGGATGGGGAGCTTCCAGACAAAAGACCCCGCGACCGGCGGTTTCGAGCATGCACTGCAAAAAGTTTTTGATACCAGTAGGTGGAGCAGGCAACACCGGCCGCAACAGGAGCCTTCGCATGCCTTCCCGGCACTCCGGTGTGGGCTGCAGTGGATTGATCCGCTTGCGCTGACAATTTTCAAGGGAAGCTACATCATGCAAGTAACCCCCTTCAGGGTGAGGGCCCAAATCCTCAAGGACAACGCGTTGAACATCGCCAAGCAAAGCCCGCCCAGGTTCAGGAGAAGCTGTGGAGGGCCGGCGGCTTCGCCGTGGAAGGGGCGCGTCGGGCCGCGCCCTTGCTGTCGCTGCCCTGGGCCCTGGGGGTGCGCGCGGTGGACGCCCGGCAGGGGGCTTGCAAGCTGGCATAGGACCCTTGAGTACCACAAGGCTTGCGCTTAGGAGTCTGGTTGAGCAAGTTTTGGGGGTAATTAAGAACAAGTCTTAAAGCCTTGGATTAATGAGTCACCAATCCGGAGTGCTGCGCCGGGTAACAAATCCCCAGACACGCAGTTTTGGTTCAGGGCTTCCAGGGTGGAAGATAAAGTGAACCGTGCAAGTTCCTTCTCAGCGACTTTTTCCCACTTTCCGGGCCTCTCCAAGATCACCTTCAGAGCAGTTTCAGTTCAGGGCTTCGAGTGCAATCTTGAAAAGTGCGTCCGAGTAAATTCCCCGCACCCTGCGCTGAGGATGTGGTCTGGAACTACGGCCAATACGGCTTGTTGGGCTTCCTGTTGCGCGAAGAGATCATGCAGGGGATCAAGACCCTGCTGAGCCTCAGCTCTGCCCTGCAAGACATTCCTCCGAAGGACCTGGTCGTAGGCCCGGTCACTAGCAACAGCGTTCCCTAGCGGAGTACTCCAATTCCCAGACAAGTTTTCTCGCCAGGGATCCTCTACTTGAGCGCGGAGCAGAGAAAAGCTCTACGAGATGCTCCGGAGGAGAATCGGCGACTGGCCAGTCAAGTGGGGCAGCCGGTGCCGCCTGACTTGCTGCAAGCGCTCATCAGCATGGCATTGATAGGCCCACGGTCGAGGGTTGGAATTGTCGTTAATAAGTCACGATGAACTTTAAGGACAACAGAGTCTTCTGAAGCATGGCCCTCCATGTACACAGAAGGATCATAGTATGCCACTATGAGGACACTTTTCGAGAACCATGTTCTTTTGGGCTTGCCCACTGCTGGCAGTAGCTCATATCTGGCATACATGGCCCTGCAGGAACCTATGCACCTTACCACGAGACTCCTTTTGAGGTGCAGCGTTTTGCCTTGCAACAGAACTGGCGCCTGGTGACGGAACGGCTTTGTGAAAGCTGGAAGCACAAGCCGGCTTGGGCTCTCTTCATAAGCTGCGAGCATCGAACCGCTGCCCTCTCCATTCGTGGCACCGACGTGGAGCAGCTCCCGAGCTTTTATACTCATGGAAATTTTCTCTTCCTTCCATCCCTACACCGTGCTTGTTGTGTCCTCGTTCGACTGCCCCAGGTCGCGGGGAGGCGACCTCTTCACCGACTTCGACGCTGTGCCGGCGAAGTACGCGACCTCCGACGGCTGTGCTACGCTCGTTGCCCACAGCGGCATCCTGGCAGCGGCGCTGGCGCTGGAATCCGAGCTCCGCCCCACCTTGCGCAAGTTGGCCACCTCGGGCTACCGCCTGATTCTGACTGGACACAGTTTGGGCGGCGCCGTCGCGGCCCTTCTCACCTGGCTGCTGCGGCACGGAACAGGCGGAGAGCGACTGCCGCTGGGGTTTGAGGGCCAAGCGTTTGGCATTGGCTACTCGACGCCGTCAGTCGTGGACAGGAAGACTGCAGAGGAGATGAAGCCTTTCTTCACTTCGGTGGTTAACTCGATGGACGTCGTACCCCGCCTGAGTAAGGGGACGCTGATGCAGCTCAGCTCAGAGATTCGAGCTTGTGCTGAAGAGAGTGGAGCCGCCCTGGATGAAGATGTCCAGCACTACGTGGAGCGACTGACGACAGTTTGGGCTCCCCGCTTCCGGGACGGCACTCCGGTGCGGGACCCGAACCCGAAGCCTCGGGAAAGAGGCCATTCGGGCTCACAGGTGTGCGCGGAGCGCGACCAAGAAGTATGGAACCCTGAGACCTCAGAGAATGTGGATTCAATGCCGGATCTGTGGCTCGAAGCAAGGTTTGAGAAGGTTGATGTCTTGTTGCCTAACAGCCCAAAAGCTTGAAGTTTGCTCGTCTTCTTGCATGGTCAAGTAGTTCACAGCTAAGTTATGTTCCTGGCAACGTCGTTTGGATCCACCGTGTGTGTGGACATCTCGAAGCGGCGCTGGTTCCATGTGGTATCAGACCGCTTCGGAGACTTGTTCTTGACAAGCGCATGTTTGCGGACCATGCATCTCAGTCTCTTTACCAGGCACGTGGCAATGTTTTGACCGCAAACACCGTTAACAGATGTCGTAATTACAGTGCAGGTTTCTTTCAACTACTGGTATGATCAATTCTGATTGGCAGGCACTGCTGGCGACACAATCCAGACAGCCTTCATGCTCTGATGTCACGTGGCAGAGATTTTCAGATGCCGGGGAGAGGTGTCCCTGCTGCGGAAGCCGCTACGAATGGATGAGCACAGCTCGTAGCGGCAAAATGCGATGTCATGCGATGACGAACTGCCGAAAGTGCGGTTTGGTTGTGTGCCTTGGGTGTGCGAACACACGACGCTCCATCCCGGAGTTGTGCCTGGAGTCAGCCCGAGTGTGTGACCGATGTGCCTGGCGCTGTGACGACAGGTCGTTGCAAGCGTTGCCTGCCATCTTCCATTCTCTGGCAGCGCAAAACTCGCAGTCCTAGTTAATGCAGAGTACCGTGAGTTCCAACTGAGCAGCTGCTTGGGCTGCGCAGGACTAAGCCCCAGTGTGCCGAAGGCACCATCGGTGATCGCAGGTACAGCAGCCGCGGGAAAAATGCATGGAGCATCCTGCAGCCTGGCAAGGGGTGACACGTGGAAAGCAAGACACTGAAGCGTTTTCTCAGTGGATGACCCCCGAAAGTGTGTGCTTTGGCTGTGAAGCCACACTATGCTAAACCCAGAGTTCTACGACGAATGTGCCTGGTGCTGCGGCTTCCGCCTTGGCTCAAAAAATTCCAGCATTGTACTTCATCGCCCCTCCTTGTTCTTTGTTCCGGGCTGAGCAGTTGCTGTTGTTGCTGTTGTTGTGGTAAGTGGTAAGCATCAAAGCATCAAAGCATGTAAGGCGAACTCCATCCTGGCCGTCAGCGGCGTGGTTCTAGGAGCCCCGTCTGTTTGGAAGTGCACAGTGGGAAGGTTGACAGCCCCAGCAGTCCTCTCGTGCTGATGCTACCCTTCCGTGGCAAATTCGTTGGTAGCAGCAGCAGTGGAGAATTCTTCGTACTGATACCTGTCAAACGACATCATGTCTCTTACAGATTCTCGGAACCGTCATGTCCCCTGACCCGGCTGACGTTGAAGACATCTTTCACATGCTTGCCCACTGCCATCATGTGAGGGCACTGCTTGTTTCAGAGGCGTAAGCCCTCAATAAGGCCGAGAATCGCGAATTTGTGCTGCAAGCCGAGCTCCCTGCAGGACCAAAGACTTCACGGAAGCGGAGAAGGTGAAGCAGCGGTTCGAGTTCGTTTTGATAGGTTTTGATGTCAGGGTGTAGGTCGTCCCTCTCCAAGGGCATTGGTTTTCATGTTGTTTTCCTGCAGAGTCTCGATCGCCCCTCGCTGTGACTCCACACTCGACCCAAACCCGTTGTTCTTCACATTGTGCCATGTCCATGCTGTGTTGCAGCTAACTTTCCGATTGCACAATGATTTCCGAGAGTGTTTAGCGGATCTGAGGCTCTTGGTCATTGTGGGAGCTAGCGAGTCTGGTCATGCACCGCACACTCTAACAGAGCGGCCGTGCCTTTCCAGGTTATGGGCTTGTGAGCAGCTGAGCCGGGCATCCGTGCAGCCGCTTG